TTGTCAGCACGTCTTGACGCAAGAAATGTTTCACTATTCGCAAATGCACAGAATGCGATTCACAAATGCGTGCAGCTATCTACAAATGCACAGGACGCGATTCACAAATGCGTGCAGCTATCTACAAATGCACAGGACGCGATTCACAAATGCGTGCAGCTATCTACAAATGCACAGGACGCGATTCACAAATGCGTGCAGCTATCTACAAATGCACAGGACGCGATTCACAAATAAATGCCAGGCAAAGTTGTGGTTGTGACATAAATATATATTTGTGAATATGTTTTTTATTTGCAAATCTCATTTTATTTATTTGTGAATTTAATTCATGTTTGTGAAACTTTAAGATTTATTTGTGGATCTCATTCTATTTATTTGTGGATCATAATCTATTTATTTGGAATTAAGCAACAATTCTACCCCCATATGCACTCATCCACCTGAATGCGCTGTCCAGATCCTGATTGGTGCGTGTTTGCTGGCTTCTAGTACTAAATAGCAGAGAGAGCGTGCAGGAAGAAGAGAGACATTGCGGCGTCTGAGGTTGTTCCGCTCTCTAAGCCCATGAGCACTTATCACGCTTGTTGTGTTCTTTGTTGGGTTGTCACAATGGTTCCTGAGTTGATGATTTGCTTAATAATCAGTTAAGCTGGTGGGTAAGGTCTGGTGGAGGATACCAATAAATTTTATCCTGTTTAATGGTTAGTTAGAGTGAGGGAAGTTATATGTTGTTTTGTTTATTTTCTTTAATGTATAGGTAATTTAATATTTTCTCCTTTTAGGTAGAGGTATTGTTTTTTTTTCTTTTCTTTTGTTCGGGCCCTCCTCCCAAGGTAATGTTTCTTTGTTTGTATTTACTTTTATTTTTGTATTAATGTTATCCTTTTTGAATCCCTTGATTGAGTTAAAATTAAAAGGCACCCAAGCCGTTTTCAAACTCAAATCTGTGGTTGGTTGTGATTTCTGGGCCTGGAGAACTGGAGATCCTCAAAGTCTCTCCACTATTTACTGTTCCTCGTTCCCATTTACCCCTAGACCAAAAGGGGAGGACGTAACCAGTGTCAATGCTGCCCTGATACCGTCCTTTGAAATATAATATAATTCAATAATATAACTCAAAAGCGTTTTTTAAAGATAATAACTGACTTTTTTTTTTTTTGAGTTTACCTTTACCACAGTTTCCTTATCAGGGAATATTTTATTTAGACATTTTAGTAAAAATATGTAGGCAGAATCCATCCAAAGCGTCAGTAGAATTTTAACTTGAATTTGGTTCAGAATAGTCTTTTCTGGGGTTTTAGCACAGGTCCATCCAAGTGGAACATCAGTGGCTTTTCACATCACAGTGATATTTTGATGACAGCTGCTTGAACAACAAGATGAATACAGTTCCCTTTTTTTATTTACTGTCACTGTCAATAAAGGCCAAGAAAACTCTCTAATTAGAAGACATTAACAATGGCTAAATGCCATTCTCCATATTAGACGGGATTGAAGTGAGCGTAGCACATTGCCTTGCTGTTGCCTCTTTCACCAATACTGATTATAATTGTTTAATGCGTTACATTTTCTTTTCACCATTGCAGGGAATCTACTAAAATCTGTGATTTTTTTTTTCTGGACTATAAAAAATGTGAGAATAATAAAATGAAAATGTAGTTTTGAATAATAAACCCTGCTGGAAAGACCAGCATATGTTGTGGTCTGGTGCTGGTGTTTTGCTTTATACAAATCACTCTGAATCACTCTGGATCCCTCACATCCAGCACACTCCCTCTTTGAACTGTTGCCATCTGGTCGACGCTACAGAGCTCTGAGCACCAGAACGACCAGACACAGGAACAGTTTCTTCCCTCAGGCCATCCATCTCATGAACACTTGACAATAACCATGGAACACACACTATTTATTCACTCATACACTTATTTATCTAACACTCATACTCAGCCTACACCTCAAATTTGCACATAATATACAGTACCTGTATAAAAAAAAAAAATATATATATATATATATATACCTTGTAATATACCTGCACACACAATTGTCAATTATATGTTTCTATTCCTTATCTACTTGTTCTATTTTTATTTTTATTATCTGTGTTTTTTGTTATGTCACTGTCATTCTGTTACACTGTGGAAGCTTCTGTCACGAAAACTAATTCCTCGTATGTGTAAACATACCTGGCAATAAAGCTCATTCTGATTCTGATTCTGATTCTGATTCTGATGAGTGTTATTTTTTGTTAAATAATTGTTATTATTGTGTTAATGTTTACTTGTTATTATTAAATTAACTTGTTACGTATATTAATAAAAGCTTGTATTTTCATGATTTTCATCATAACAAAATGCAATGTAGTTGCGCATTCCACCCTGGTGAACAGGCAACCATCCTCAACATCTATGTTTGTGACCAGCATGGGATGCTGGTGTTAAGGATTTGGTTATTTCCTTTTTATACTATTTATTTTTCAAATTTTTTGATATTCTTTAAGTGATTTATTACGTTGTCCATTTTGAATGTATATTATGTTTAATTGTTGGATTCTGGGGTTTTTATTAGTTTATACGTCTTGTTGTAACGAAGTCTTTTATTTTGACATTCATCCATGTAAGCGGATATTGCGTGTGCTCAAAGCATTCTAGTAAGGAGCGCAGCTAAGATGCACATGGTCGATTCATTCAAGGGTTTACGGTTAAAAAGAACTTCAAGGATTTAGCTTCTGGTTTAAATGGAGAATAAGGTAAAATATTGACTTTGTTATCTGTATTGTTTTGGATTTATTTTAATGTAGTAATGGTTATTTGTTTTTTATGATGTTAGGTGTGTTAAATTGTTGTATTTGTAATTGATGTATGTTTGTTTCAGGTTTATTTATATTATGTTTTGTGTTTGTTTGCTTTATACAAAGCTCTTACGGTGATTCGTGATGTCTTATGGCATTTAATGGTGATTACTACAAATCTACGGTGACGGATCTTCAATAAAGCTCATTATGAATCATCAGTTGAAGAGTTCAACATTTTTTAAGCCAGGAAGCTACACTTGTCCCTATATCTTTTTGATAAATTTTCACAGAAGGGGTTAATAGTCTGTGTTGTATTATTTTTTGCACGTTTTTGTCTACAATACTTTTATCATGATGTAGAAGACATAAGGGGTATTAGATGAAAACCTTTGTAGCCTGGTTTCCTTACTGAACACTGTACTGCTGCGTCACACTTGTCAACATCCGTCTGCGTTGTTGCATCAACCATAACTGAATAACACTGTACACTTACTGACCGCAGTGAAACTGACGAATTGTCCAGCTCCTCCGCGAATACGCTTGAACTTTCTCCTTCTGTGGCTATGGTGTCATGTTTACATCCTACCAGGATAGCATCTAGCGTTTCTTGTCTCTGTCGTTTTTCAGTGCGGATTTCACTCGATATCCGGGTGCGTTTAGACTCCTTGTGGGGGAAAATCGATGGTACAGCATTTGGTTTAAGTCTACGTTTAAATCCGTCGGCACACGTAAGTTCTTTCATTAGCTGTGGTCTACTAAAGGCCTCAAAGGCATCAGGGCTAAAGTGGCGAGAACACAGACGCGGGTCTTTGGGAAGTTGTATTCGTCCACAGGCATCTTCCCATTCTTTTCTCCTCTTCTTGTCGCTAGGAAAGCTGTGAAGACTTACATCGCTGCTCTTGTTGCCCTTCGACTGAAAATTACAGCCAAAAGCCGCACAATGTGGCATCGTATCCGTGTTTTATATTATGAGTTGTGTCAAAATAGCAACAGGTAGCGCCAGTAGCTCACCGAGTGCAACCATTTGACGTCATCGAAATAATGGCGCCCCCCACAGTCCAAAATAAGCAAAAGACGATGTGGATTTTTGAACTAACGTAAATCTTTCATGTTGTTTCTACTACATTTTTCATTAACTGACATCATTTACGTTATTTTAAGCCATACAAGTCTTAATACCCGGGGTTCCCTTTAAGCCAGGAAGCTACACGCATCATGAAGGACTTCAGATTTCTGACTATCACTGACTTAAGTTGCAGTTTACATGATTATAAAATAAAAAGTACACTTTTTGTTATGTGCTAGCAGGGTGCAGCCTACTTAAAAGTATTATAATCACCCTGCATCCTCTGAGTAAGATCAGAACTGGCGAGTTTGTGTCTGTGATATTACTGTTGGCCGAGTGAATTTCTCAGCGTCCTTAATGTACGAATAATTGAAAGTATGGGATATTCAAAATAATTAAATATCTAAATGAATACATAATAGATATTATACAGATACAGTCTAAATTTAATGATCACTTGAAACTGGAGTCAGATTGAACTCTGAGCTAGACTAAAATTAAAACTAAATCCTGATAAATGAAGTGAACTTTGCAGAAGTGCAAGTAAAAGACCTAGATGCATTAAACCTTCGCCCACCCATTGGATTCTGTCCTTGGGCCGATTTGGATGGATCGTTACAACGTCTTTCTCCAGGATATCATTTCTTTTTTTTATCATAATACTTGCGTTCACCACGTCAGTAAATATTAACTTGAATGGAAACAAAATAACTTTTGCTTTAACCAGTGATATTTTCATGCTCATTATTGTCACGTGGGAAAAAAAAGAAATAACTGGCATTTAATTTTTTACATATATTTGAAGAAGATATAATTTGAACAGACACTGAAGTCATTTTCAGACTACTGTCTACCTGATGTCTTTTTCTACAAGAAACAGCCGCTGAAAGCAAGAGTAGCGTCTACTACATTTTGGTAAAAAACTTTTTTTTACAGCACTTTGCTTTAAAATTCATCAAATATTTGACTTAAAAGTTCTGTTTGTTCACATACAAATATCTAATTCTTTCAAACAGCAACGACATGAACCTCATAATCTTGAGAAAAAGCCCCATCTGCTGCTGCTATGGTGAGCTCATAATGTTTATTTGTGAAGCTCTTGTTCTTGTAAAGTTCATCCTGCGGCTTATTTTCTGTTCATCTGATGGCATCATAAGTCACTGTATCATTATGATCCTGAAAGAACAGATTTCAGATTTTCTCCATCAATGCCATTATTACTATTAGCGCATTAGCATCATTTATCAGTCAAACTAAGTTTCAGCAGCATTTAGATGAGTGAAGATGCTGTGATTTAATCTGAATTAGATGAAGAACAAGGGAACGAGCTGCTATCAACTCACATTGAGTGATTTTACTGGCTTTTTACTGGAAGAAGAGACTTCAGAATAAGTCACATCATCTGTCGGCTCCTAAACATTAATGCAAACGTGCAGCGAATCAAGTTTAATACACAGATCAGACATATCTCTCTGTGTAATATGTACAATAATACAACAGCTTTCAGTAATTCACATTATAGATCTGAACTGAACTGAATGATTTAGTTGACTCACATTGTCTCTTGCAGCAGGAATGGACATGTTGATTGTTTCATACGTCCCTTTATCTTCATTCTCACCTTTGACCTTCAGACAACAAACAAACGCTTAATTGAGCTTTAAAGACAGAATTTAAATCTCAATCACTGGCATTACTGAACTCACCGCAGATTCACCAGTCCCTCTTTTATCATCTGAAAAAAAAGAACCTCATGAAATATGATTATTTATGATAAAACACACATGCAAAACACTGAATGTTAACAATGCTAACAATGTTCATATTTCACAAGGGGCAAGATTTTGTTGAAGCATTAAAACGAGTGATAGAAACGATTGTTGTTTGACTTGATATCTCTTTGACAGCAGGATTAAACTTGTGTTTGTGAACGTCATAGTTGCATAATATTGTTTCTATAATAACACACAATCTGAAGAGGATGTTTGTTTGCTGATCATTACAGTGAGATATGAGCTGTTTTTAATTGTTACAAAGGAGGAAATCTGAAAACTCACCAGCTCTTTTTCTGCAGATCAGCCAGAGAACAGCGGCAAGGAAAGCAGCGAATGCAGCGGCAGGAACAGAAATCACTGTCACTAAAGAAGAGACAGTCATAGTCAGGGACCCGACGGGCCCATTGATCACAATTATAGTCAAAGCATCATCAGTAACATCATTTTAGGCTTAAAAGCAGCAGCAGCAGCATGTACCTGTATGAGCAGAATCCTGAGGATCCTGAGAGTTTGTGACTGCTGTCGTTGAATCAGCTCGAGCTGTAAAAGATGAATGTTAGTTCAGATTAATCAGACTGTAGAATATGTCAATCATATTTGAATTAGTTAACACACAAGATAACTCTAATGCTAATTAGAAACCAGTCTCTGAGAGCCACAGCAAAGCACTGATGTGAGGAAGACAGTGATGCTGTACCATTAGTTATGTGTGTGTTTGTAGTTGAGCGATCCTCAGAGTTTGTGACTGCTGTCGTTGTTTTAGCTTCAGCTGTAAAACATGAATTAGTTCAGATGCATCATACTGTAGAACAGGGATTTTCAAAGTGTCTGAGAAATAATTTTCTATAAGCCTACCGTGTTTTCCGGAATACAAGTTGTGTTTGTAATCATCTAAAACATGCTATGATTTATATTCCAGAGTTAGGGTAGAGTGGGGCAAAATGCCCCTTTAAGGAATGTGTATTTTATTTAATTTTTTTTCTGTGAAACAAAAGTTAAATGTGTCCAGAATATTTATAATAGTTTTAGTGAGAATGACATCAATTATAAACCAAGTATGAAAAATGTCCTGAGTCTTCATGTTATTAGATGTTTAACAAAAAAATAATTTGCACCAAGAGGGTGTTTTGCTCCATAGTTGGGGTAAAGTGTTCCAGTATTACAAAGCACTTTGCTTTATACATTTGCAGCAAAATCAGAGTACAGGCAGTTTTATCTTAAAATTAAAAATAATATAATCATTACTTATGAAATACAAAATTTTAATAGCTTATTTGAAAAAAAAAAAAAACCTTAGTTAATGCTAACTGGCTAGCTAACTTACTACCTGATGCTAACTTGAGGTAATTTTTAAAGGGGTCCTATAATGTTGCTAAAAATAACATTATTTTGTGTATTTGGTGTAATGAAATGTGTTTATGTGGTTTAAGGTTCAAAAAACACTTTATTTTCCACATGCTGTACATTATTGTTTCTCCTCTATGCCCCGCCTTTCTGAAACGTGTAGATTTTTACAAAGCTCATCGGTCTGAAAAGCTAGGTGTGCTCTGATTGGCCAGCTATCCAGTGCGTTGTGATTGGCCGAATACCTCAAGCTTGTGACGGAAATGTTACGACCCTTGCCATACTGTGATGATGCCCTGTCCGACCGGAGCGACGAGACAAAAAAGCGGCGGTGGGCTTGAGAATGGTGCGGCCGGCGGGTTTGCGGCAACCACATGTGACGACCCCGGGCTGGACTCCGCTTCGTCCACATTGAAAGCCGATCTGGTGATCCACAGCACGAAGTTGATGCATTTCCTCAGTGACCAGCACGGATCAGCTCTAGGCATGACGAATCAGATATTGTCCTCATTTGGAAGGTCAAACAAAGTAGTTTTGCTTTCACAAAGAAACACGCAGCACCTTCACGACGTGACGCCGTTTGCAATAACAATACTACAGCGAGAATAAAAGTTAAGCCTTATTTCTTTGCGTGAACATTTGGGTGGCGTTATGGAAATCTTCCCACATCGTGACGTTTTTATTATATTATATTATTATGTATGTTTTTAAATAACATGTACTCCCTATCTACAGGCCTTATTCTCATATAACTGTGATGTTCTACAAAACAAGCTTTAAAACACTTTTTTTCTTACTGCTGTGAATTAGATAATTTACTGTGAAATCTGTTTTCTCTCAGATACTGTACATCACCAGTGTAAGCTTCATGATGAAAACTTCTACTTCACTCTTGAAAATGCTGCCCATAGTTGCAATAAAATATTATCTTGACTTTATCTAGTGGTTATTTTGGGAAAAACAGAAGGGGGTGTTTTCTCCCACTCTACCCTATTCATATAATGCACTTAATTTCAAATGAGTGAAACACAGACAATTATGCGCTACAAGATTCCAATATAGCATATTTCTCATGTGTGACAGTGGGCAGTATTCGCTGAGTTTTGGTTCATTTTTGTGAAGTTTATAGCAAGCAATTTTTTTTGTTGTTGTTTCCTTTGTTTTGCAACGTAGGACATTTTGCTGTTATTTTGAAGAAAAAGAATTGATCCTGGCTCCAAAAAGTGTGAAAACCCCTGCCCTATAATGTCACTATTATATTTTACCTTTGATCACCACATTACATAAAAAGTTCAATTAAAAAAAAAAAATTAAGCAAAACTTCTTGGACCGTTACTGCTAGTGATTTGAGTTTCTCTTCCATCAGACTGAACGAAGCTTTAGTGCCTTGGTTTGTTCTGCTTCAATAACACTAACAGTCACTAACATTATGGGGGTCTAAAACTGATTGATGAGATTGTTTTCTCACCTGAACTCTTGACAGTAGATGTGACTGAGGTGTTGACTTTATCTCTGTGAGTAACATTGCATCTCCACTCTCTGTTGTGATCTTCATTCAGGAGTGTTGAAGTCAGAGTGCTGATGCAGTGTCCTGATGAGGATGATATCTGATATCTGGAGTCTGAGTTTATCAGTTTACCACCAGCCTGATTCACCCAGAACAGCTGAATTCCCTCAGAATTAATCAAATCATCACAAGAGACTTCAGCAAATGAATACAACTGACAGGAGAGAGTCACAGAGCGGCCTGCACTGATCTCAGTCTGTGAGGATGATGAAGATGAAGAGACTGAAACACAAAATAACACAAATCACACACTCTTCAATCATCATGAGAGATTAAATGAAGAATTTGTTTTTTAAATTGACCACATAATCGTAAAATTACCATGAAGAACATGCAGAGAAACACGAGCATCAGTTCCTTGTTTTTGTCCATTCACATATTGTCGGCAGATATAAAGTCCATAATCTTCTTTTGTGACGTTCTTGATGTTCAGAGAGCAGTCAGACCCCAGACTCAGTCTCTCATGTCTCTCTGTGTTTTTATTCTTTATCCCTAAATTAATCAGTTCAACTGTCTCTGATTGATTGAATCTGTTATAGTTCCATGTAGTTGATGTGCAGTCAGGAAGAGCATTATTACAGGACAGACGGACATTTTCACCAGAACTGATGAACACATGAGCATCATCCACTCCACTGGAACCTGAAACACAAGTATAATCAGGTATAGCTCTCAAGAACAAACAATTTTTCTTTATCAGAGAGCTTTTCAAATCACAAGCACACTCTTAACATGAAGATAATTCAGCATCAGATGTTTGAGTGTGAAACTGTCTAGTTTTAGGTCGTTCAGGAATAATCCAGTATGTTCTGTTTGTAACAGAAGAATAAACTGATCCTGTTCAAATGAACTCTTTCTCAGACTAATTCCACTAAATGTGTTGAAGAGAAAACAGAGATCTCTTTACCTGTGAGAAGTGAAGAGAGAAAGATCAGTCCCAGCAGACACAGATGACACTTATCAGCCATTTCCTCTATCTTTCAGTCTTCTTCTTCATTATACGCTCACAACTCTTTCTTTAAATACCCTCAGCTCCTCCTGTGTTTGTTCACTTCCTCTGATCTGACGGACTCAGTGTTTAAAAGCTGCTATTTAGTGACACAATGCCAGTCATAATGGAGAAGTGGGAGAACTCAGAAGAGCTCAGGTTGTTTTAACCTGCAGCGTTCTGTAAACGCCTCAATCGGTTAAATCTTCCCTCGAGAGATGAGTGCTGACTGTTACCAGTGTTGTGTTGAGCTCTGTTTCTTCTATATTTCCTATGAACTGCCTAACCATAACCACTAACCTGGAGAAACACAAGACTTTGAAACGACAATGGACATGAAACATGTACACTTCAGTGTGAGAACTGCATATTGTTGCTCAACACGCATTTGCTCTGAACACAATCTATGGGCTGTTCTTTGCATTACTGTTAGTTTCACTTCTTTCTTACTTTTTTATTAAAATATTAGTGATAAACCTGGTTTTACTGAAAAGGTATTCACTATCGATGACTTCCTTCCTTGAGTCGTACTAATGACAATAATACCAATAATGTCATAGTCAGTCAAACTTGCTGTCCGCCCTTTTGAAAAATCTTTGAAACCCTACTTTTTTTGAACTCCTCCAAAGTCATTGGTCAGACATTTGGCAAAACCATTTAACACATCTACAAATTTGATGGCATGATGTCAAAATGAGTTTTTGACACCAAACCTTTGGCCATCCCAATATCTACACTTGCGGTCTTGGGCATTTGAGAGCGTATGTATGTGACTGGAAGTAAAATTTTGCGGTTTGTGTTAATTTAAATAGAAATTGCATATAATTTGCTAATAAAACAGAAATTGCTAAAATGTTATATGTATAAAGTGAATTAAATGTATGTATTTGGTACACTCACTAAATTAGAAGCACCAGAGTTACTAAACACAGTTACACAGGCACTACTGAACAGACATTCAGATGTTTATCTGTGAGTGCAAAATACTTCAAATCAAATGAAGTTGTGTATAAACGTGCATTTGTACAGCACTGTAAGATTTGTTCTCCTCTCAGCAATAACGGTCATCTTTTGTCTCTTTGTGTTGTGGTTTGTATTCTAGTGTTTTCTGAAGTGTGTTGCTGCTGACTGTGAGAACTCGGTTAGTTTGACCACACTGGTTTAACCCACACAGATCTGAGATCATCTCTGAACCCAGTTTGGACGCATGATGCTGTGAATTCTCACACATTCACATAACACTTCCTCTTCTTTCTTTAACCTGGTTTCTAACTGCATTTCTCAACCTTTTCCTTCGTTAAAATGTTTGCTGCAATCTGTTTACGAGTTCACTGTTAGTTTCATTGATGCAGTGTATCTAAAGTTTTTATTTCAGTGATTTCATGTAAAGCAGGGTTCCTCATCCAAACACCTGGCTCTGGTTTTCAGGTAAACTCAAATACCTCGATTAGTTGATTAAAGTGAAACTGGAAACTATGATCTTGCATCTGTCCAGCATTGGTCAAACTCTTTGAGAATTGAGTGAAGACAAATCAAGATCTGCCACAGAAAGGGCCAGATGTAGGGCATTCATGCTAAAATGACACAGTGTTTTTTGGTGAAGATGTGGATGAACAGAATTATTTCTGCTGCAGCTGCTCTAAATCCGTCAAACTGGCCATTGATGAAGACAAGCACATCCTATATGAGGATGAAAAACTTCTCACGATACACAAGACTGTCGCAACCAGTCCCATGTTCTTCAAGGAATTCCACAAGTTTAAGTGTCAGGAGAGACTCTGTGGAAAGTGCTCACTACGGTGCTCATCTCTGAACCCTGTTAAGATTATGGAAGCATAATTTTCCATATGAAGTTTTACAGTGATGTTTCGCATCAGAGTCAAAACCTACTTACAATCTTGAGATGGCTGACAGCCGTTCTACACTTTCGTAACTAAAATAGTGTATTAATTATAGCAGTTTGTGTGTTTCAGAGCTGTGATCTCACTGTTGAGGTTTGTAAACTCGTTACTCATGTTACTCAGAACTCAGTTTGACCGCAGTAGAGCCGTGGTCTTCTCTGAACCCAGATTAGATGATGCTGTGAATCTGAATCACTCTGACGTCACTTCCTCTTCTTTCTGTAAGTGAGCTGCTGCACGCCATTAAACTCCTTTCAGTTAACAGTTGAATGAGTTTAGATTGTTTAATTAACTGATTTAAAACCTTATTTGAATTAAATCAACATCCCTCTGAATTTCTATAAAATTAAATCAATATACAGCATGTGAGCAGATTACTTATCACAAGTTCTCCTTTTAAATATTCTCTTTTATTATGGTCACTAATTTTATATATTAGATTTACATTAAATTTACAGCCAAATATCTGAGGGCTTCTTAGGACTTAAAGCAGTAAACTGATTAGTAATTAGATCGTGACTGAAGAAGAATCTGCTTGCAAGAGCCCAAAGAAATGTATTAATAAAACTATTAATAAAAATATTTTCATGAGTCTGTTTGTGTGTCAGTGTCACAGTTACAGTGCTACTATAGTCTCATCTTCAGACGACATGAACAGAGTAGAATATGTATATAGTGGGTGGAGTTGACATCAGCTCAATCTGATTGGCTGCTCACTAAATACAGCTTCCATTGGTCCATTTCTGTCTGAATAGGCGGGGCTTGTCCAGAATTAGATGAGCATCATATTGTAGCCCAGCTGTGAGCAAAGGTGAAGTGTGTGGAAGTCATTGGTTTATCAACATGGATTTCTGAACTAACCACAATAACGTTATATGAATTATTATGAACATGAATTAATCATTTCCATTATTTGTTCATCTTTGTTGCTTTGCTTCAGTTTAACGCATCCTCACATTACGAGCTCATGAAGGGGAATCACCAGATTTGTAAGAAATATCTCAGCAAAGGTGAAATATTAAACACAAGTGCAGAGGTTTTATTAAGAAAATTAGTAGCAATCATCCAACATTTAAAAATAATAATAAATAAAGAAATAAATAAAAACTGTAAAAAAAGAAGAAAAAAATGAACAGATGAGATAAAAGAAGCAGCTCCATCACACAGAACAGATATTATTATACCATCAATCTGTCCATTACTGTATTTAATACTGTATTTAAAGCAGGTTTTATACCAAACACAAGAAAATGACTTTGTACACTGCATGCAAATATCCATTAACTCCATATAAATGAAAATAAATGGATGACATCACTATTTCTTCAGGGTGGTCAGAGATTTGTCTTTGTTTTCTGAGAAGAAAAATAATACTAATATGATGAACAAAATCCTCTAAGTTTGTGCTATTTTAAATATTGTTGCAGATTGTGTGAGGCTGAAAAACTCACCAGTTCTTCTTGCACAGATGATCTGAAGAAGAATCACAGTAGGAGCAGCAAACACTGCAAACTCAACAATAATCACAATCACTGCAGGACAGATGACAGACACAAGCAAGAGAAAACAGACTCAATCTGTGAAACTGGGAATGAAATCAAAGCTGTGAAATGATAAACAATGTAAAGATGTGTGGTACCTCTGAATAATAATCCAGCAGTCCTGCTGACTTCAGTTTCTGCTGGATATGTGATCATGAATATTAGTTCAGTTCAGACACGATGAACATCATCAACATCTCATCATACATGAGCTTCACGTCACAGAAATGATGAATGAACTCTGATGTGTGAGAGAGATGATGAACCTTGTGTAGGAGCTGCTGCTGTAGTTCGGCTCGATGTTGTCTCAGAGACTGGAATCTGTGTTGAATCTGGAGCTGCAGAAGATGAACGTTCAGACACATCATTATACTGTAGGACATCAACATCATATTTTCATACTTCATCATTACATGACATGCAAAGTGAATGAGCTTTTTCAAAGTCTGTGTTCCATCATCAGTTTTCAGTGGCAGTTATTGTGAAGAGAGGTGTTTATATCGGGGCTGTTTCCAGCTATAAATGATTGTTTAGGTCTCTGAACTGCCAGCAAAGTAACTAAAAGCTGTAAGTAAGACTCGGGCAGCTGTTACGGCTCAAATAGACAGTTATAGGACACCCTGTTATGTCCCGAGATGGAAAGGAGAATGAAACTGTGAGGAGAGAGTTGAAGCTCAAAAGATTTTTCATCATCATGAAGCTCAGCTATCAGGAGTGAAAAAAGAGGAGAAACAGCCAGAGCACTGGAAAGACATGAATGTAAATCAGAAGCAGAAATTCTGTTCAGCAATAATGAGGGTTGGTAGGGTTTCGCTTAGACCAGTTTATACGCAGCTCTTCAGTTTTTCTGAATGAATGATATTATTAATCCTCATGGCATGTCTCTGTATCAGAGTCTTCTAAAAGTGAGTCAGGAAAGTTCATTTCTCACCTGAACTCTTGACAGTGTATGTGACTGAGGCCTTGACTTGATCTCTGTGAGTAACATTGCATCTGCACTCTCTGTTGTGATCTTCATTCAGGAGTGTTGTATTCAGAGTGCTAATACAGTGATCTGATGAGAATAATATCTGATATCTGGAGTCTGAGTTTATCAGATTATCACCAGCCTGATTCACCCAGAACAGCTGAATTCCCTCAGAATTAATCAAATCATCACAAGAAACGTCAGCAAATGAATACAACTGACAGGAGAGAGTCACAGAGCGGCCTGCACTGATCTCAGTCTGTGAGGATGATGAAGATGAAGAGACTGAAACACAAAATAACACAAATCACACTCTTCAATTATCATGAGAGATTAAATTAAGAATTTGCCCTTTTAAATTGACCACATAATCATAAAATTACCATGAAAAACATGCAGATAAACACGAGCATCAGTTCCTAGTTGTTTGTCATTCACATATTGTCTGCAGGTGTAAAGTCCATAATCTTCTTTTGTGACGTTCTTGATGTTCAGAGAGCAGTCAGACCCCAGACTCAGTCTCTCATGTTTCTCTGTGTCTGTCTTCGTTATCCCTAAACCAATCAGTTCAACTGTCTCTGATTGATTGAATCTGTTATAGTTCCATGTAGTTGATGTGCAGTCAGGAAGAGCATTATTACAGGACAGATGGACATTTTGACCAGAACTGATGAACACATGAGCATCATCCACTCCACTGGAACCTGAAACACAAGAAAATATATGTGATTATTATACTATATTTTAATACATGAAAACATAAAACATACCAGCATAAAAAGCAGAAGATTCAGATCATGCAGTCTTTTTCCTCACTTAATGCAAACACACTCTCCAGAATAAACTATTTATCTTTATCAGAGAGCTAAATGTGTTGAAGAGAAAACAGAGATCTCTTTACCTGTGAGAAGTGAAGAGAGAAAGATCAGTCCCAGCAGACACAGATGACACGTATCAGCCATTGTCTCTTTCTGTCAGTCTTCCTCTTCATTATACGCTCACAACTCTTTCTTTAAATACTCTCAGCTCCTCCTGTGGTTTTTAACTTCCTGTGATCTACAGATGTTGAAATGTTGCTAAATGAGTGGCTATGTATTGTCATAATGGAGAAGTCTTGCTTCACATTTCTCTTGTAAATATTGATTAAACTATTTCAAATGAACAGCTGGCAACTTAATTTTTTTTTGTCTTTGTGCAATAAAGTCTAATTTTGACTTCTGGCAGTCATTATTTCTGATTCTTCTGAGAGCGAACCGAGTTTCTCCATGACAATATCCACTCACATTCAAGTAGATTTCAGTACTAATATGTCTTTTCGTTGATGCTTAAATGTAAAGTACAGTACACTTATACTGTAATAGGAACAGTCCCTCACTTGTGGTTGATGTTCAGTGGTAACAAGGTTAAATCCTCCTGCGCTGACTGATGCGGGTGTTGTGTTGAACTCGGTTCCTTAATGTTTGATCATAACCATAACCACTAATATGGAGAAACACAGGGAGACAGACTTTGACACGACAGTCGTTGTGAAACATGTTCTTCAGTGAGATCTGCATATTGTCAGCCACACATTTGCTCTGAATGCAATCTATAGCTATTATTTACATTACTGTCAGTTTCACTTCTTTCTTTCAGTCTGCATGCTGTTAAATAGAAATAATGTCATTCAATTATTAGTGATAAAATTTCTTAGTTACTGAAAAGGTTTCCATTGTCCAAGACTCACTTGTAGTAAAGGAACTCTAAAACAGTTTTAAAGTATTTTGAAATTGTTAACATGAGCGTCTCCGAAGAAGTCAGTGTTTCTACACATCAGATCCAGAGTCCTTTATTAACACCACATTTTCCCTTTCATCCGGTGGGTTTGGCAGCGCCACGAGTCTCTCTGAGAGGTGATAATTCACAGTTAGTTGGATCTGTGTGCTGTGACACAGACCGAGCAGTTTAAAGTGCTTCAGAGGTGCTTTAAAAGGCGGCTACTTTGAATTTTGTCATAAAAGGCTATTTGTTATTATACTGTATTTTATGAACTCATTGGTGTGTCTTTTTGAAAGTTGTTAGGCATCATCAGCATCATGTCCTGATGATACTCAAGATGTTTCGGGGCAATATAATGACATTTAAAAAACTGATAATGTTTTTCCTATTGTAATGATAGATTCCTTGAGTCAAACCCAGAACAACAATGATGCCATAGTAGGTTGAACTTGCGGTTTGCATTTTGAAAATCTTTAAAAAACCTATGTTTTCTAACTTCTCCTTTAGACAGTTGAAACGATTTTCACCAAATTCGATTCAGATTATCTTCAGACCATGCCGGCAAAAAAAAAAACATGGATTTCTTGATGATATACCAAACCGTTATTATTTAACACATCAACAAACTTGATGGCACAATTGCAAACCGATTTTATCTCTGCAGTGCTTTTGTCAGGATCCTGCCCTGACAGCCTTGTCTGTCTTGTCTTTGGTCAATTTCAATAACCACACCCCCTTGTTTAGTCCTCGTTCGTCAGATTGTGTTCAGCTGATCCTCGTGTGCTCGAACCCTTTATAGGGTGCTCATTTCCCTCTTGTCGTTGCTGGTTTGTTGTCTCTTATGTCGTCCGTGTACGCTTTACCTTTGTCGATCTGCATTATCTTGATTGCCATCTTTGTCTTCAGTGCCTCCGTTTGTCGTCAGTGTTCTCATTACCTCTGTCTACAGTACCTTCGGGTGTCTCCATTTCCTTTTGTCATTATTTTTGTCAGCATTTTCCTCCTTGTCTCCTCTTTGGTTGTGTGTGTGAATTCTCCGTGCTGTTGCCGTTGGTCTTGTTTGAGTGTGTTTGTCAGTCGACTTCGATTAGTCCAGTTTCCCTCTCGTTGGCCCCAGTTTCCTTGTCTCTCTGTTTTGTCTATAGTCTAGTATAGTCCTAGTGGTTTCATCATTTTATTGTTAGTCCTGAACTCTTTTTCAGTTTTTTTTTCTTTTTTTTTCCCCGTTTTATTTTGGTTATCCTTGTGTCGTGAGAAGTTCCAGTTTTATTTCTAGTATTTGTTTTATTTTATTTTTTCTTTCAGTTTCAGGAAGGTCGCTGTCTTGTTTCTATTTTGGGTTATAGTTCCTGACCCTTTTTCTCCCAAGTTTTTCAAAGGGTTATCCTTTTGTTTTTAGAAATTTCAGTTCTTATTTTTAGTACTTTTTATAATTACACTGTAAAAAATTTACTGTAAAATTTACAGTAACTTACTGGCAATTTTGGTTGCCAGTAAGACTGTAAATTTACAAGAGTACTGTAAATCAATTACTACAATTGTACTGTAAAAATACAGCACACCGCTGTATAAATATGCTGTAAAATTGTTGTTTTTTTACAGCTATTCCTGTAAGATTACAGTAGCAATGTTTACAAATGTGAGTGAAATTACAAGAGCAACTGTGAACTTGCACTGCTATACATACATTTTACATTAAATTAGGGCATTTGTTGTGAAATTCAGTTCACTAAATTAACTAGTTGAGATTTTTCACTGCTGTGATAGTGTGTAAACCTACTTTTTCCTGTAATTTTCAGTAGTGTTTTTTTTGTCAATTGAATGTGTAATGTGAACAAAAAAACTTTCAAAATGACAGGTTTTCATAAATTTAACAATTTATTGTACAATAATGTTCATTTAACATGTACACCATTTTCCAAAACATATTTGGAGACACAAAAATGGAGATTGCACATTAAACCAAAGGCTTTAGCCTTGGGGGAAAAAAGAAAAAAAAAACATCCCTACAGTGGGACTGAACTTCATTCATAAACTTAGTTTAAATAAACACAAAAGAGTGAACCACTAACGTTACTGAGTTACATAAAACCTACACATTTTACATTTTATTAATGTAATTGCAATGTTTTATAGTTTACGTGACTACTACCAACAATCCAAACTTATTTTATACTGAACAGCTATCGAAATTTAATAGTAACGTAATATGGCAGACAGAACACACTTTCAAGATGAAAAAAAAAATAAGTTAGTTACCTAGCTAACGTTAAAGTTAATCGAAACTTTGGACTCA